CGGCCCCCGAGGCTCTGCGGGGGCTGCGCAGCCGCGTGCGGCCGGGGTACGGAGTGTGGGGGGGATTGATTGGTGGGGGGTGGGGCATGACTGCACCCTGTGCCCAACACAACCACCCCCTTAGAGCCACGCTGATCTGCGCCTGGGCTGAGGAGGGGGCCGATGCCGTGGGGCCCAACGGGGAGCTGCTGCACTCGGATGCCTTCCCCCCAGAGACCCTTGTGGACACACTGGGGGCTGGGGACACCTTCAACGCTGCAGTCATCTTCGCGCTCTCAGAAGGTGGGGACAGACACAGCCTGGCACCGCTCAGCCTGGCACAGCCACGGCGTGGTTATGGCACAGCACGGCATGGCCAGGCTCAGCTCAGCCTGTCTCAGCCCCTTGGGGCTGATGCAGTGCTGCTTTCCCAGGGAAGAGCCTGCAGGATGCCCTGACCTTCGGCTGCCAGATTGCAGGCAGAAAATGCGGGATCCAGGGCTTCGATGGCATCGTCTGAGCTGGGCATCTGGTGCCAGGAGACTCCCACAGCCCGGGACACCTTGCCCCCCACTGCACCCCACACCCCCCACACTGTTGTTGCAAATAAACCCCCCCACATACACTGCCCCACCACTGCTCCTGCCCTCACTCCAGCCGAGGGCCACTGACAACAGGCCAGGCCAGCACAGGCACCAGCTCCTCTATTTCTCCATCTTGCCATGTTACAGAGGTGACTGCCTGGCCCCAGCACCCCCAACCCCCTGCAGGATGAGGCGTGCAGGAACCCTTCACACACCATATGCTCTGAGTGTGGCAGAGAGCGGTGGGGGCATTGCACCCCACAGTTCCCATCCTCTACCCCTCCCCAGGGTCCTCCCAGACTTGGGTTGCCTCCTCCTGGGGGATTCCAGCCTCAGGGGCTCCATCACTGGGGGCTTCAGTCTCAGGGGCTCCAGCCTCAAGGGCTTCCTCTGCCTCAACAGTCTCAGCACTTGGGGCTTTTGCTTCAGGGGCTTCTTCCAGCTCCACAGCTTCACCCTGGGGGGCTTCAGCCTGGGGGGCTTCAGCCTGGGGGGCTGCCTGCCCCTCCACTGGGCCATCCCCAGGACCTCTCACCTCCTGGTCCTCCCCGGGTCCCTCTGCGTCCCTCCTAGGCACAGCCCCAGCCCGGGGCTGCCCAGGGGGCTGGAACAGTGGCTGCCCAGGAAGTTCCTGGCCCCGGCCAGATACCAGGAGCAGCTCGGAGGGGTCAAGCAGCCCGTCTCTGCTCAAGTCCTGCCTCTCCAGGACTCGGTCCACCCGCTCAGCTACCTGTGGAGGCAGGAGTGGGGACAGGGTGAGAACCTGGCCCGGGGGTCCTGGGGGTGCCAGGGGGCCATCCTCCTCATGGGACCCACCTCCTCGGGGCCTGGCTGTGTCCCGTCCCGCTGTGCCAGCAGCGTCCCCAGCAGCTGCAGCAGCTCCAGCCCGTCCAGGCGCCCGCTCCGGTCATGGTCGTGCAGCACAAAGAGGTAGAGCAGAGCTGTGGGACATGGGGTGTCGTGGCGCTGGGGCCGCATCCCTGACCCCCCTGGACCCTAGCCCCCCATGGCCTTACCCTGCTCCCGTGTCATGGCCTCTGTATCCCGGTCTGGTGGCCCCAGGCTCTGCACCACGCTCCGGAGCAGCCTGAAGGCAGCAGGGCTGGAGGTGGGTGTGCACCACCACCCTGCCCCACAGCGTGCCCCATGGCTGCTCTACCATATGTCTGATCCCGATACCACCCTGCCCCACGACCAGCTGGACACTGCCTGTGACCCCCATCCCATGGCACAGCCCCCGGGGCGCAGGGCCCAGTGCCATGGGACTCCCCGCAGGGCTACCCATGGGGCCAGGACTCACGGCAGCGTCAGCAGCTCCGGGCTCAGCGGGTCAGGATCAGGATCAGGGTCTGGCATCGTGGACAGGGGGGTCTCAGGCCTGGCCAGGAGAGGAGGGGTGGGGGTTACCTGTGCATCTGGGAAGGGGCAGCTGGTGGGGCTGCCTGACCAGATGTCCCTACGTGCCATGCACAGCATGTGTGTGTCCCCATTGCCCCCCAGCTCAGGGTGCACCCCTGTGCCTGGTCCTTCGCCATGCACCGCCCGGGCCTCCACCTGCACCCATACCACACCTGTTCCACCCCATACCCGTGCACTGCCGTACCTG